TTGTAATTTCCCATCATGACTCAAACTGTGACCTCAACCATATCAATTCCAGTTGGCGCATTATCTAGTCTCACCATAAAAGTGCAAGTGTTGAGGGTGAGCCGAAAAACCTGTTCCGTGAATTTTATCCTCAGGCATTCTGCTTAGACTCTGGTTCCAGAATGTCTCGCCATGACACGTAGCCTGTTGATATCTGAGCTCTCGTCTCTTCTCAATGTTGCACTCTAATTGGGCTAAACTCGGCATATAGCTATTCCGGGATTCCGTACTCTTAGTAATTTCTGTACAGCAATGTGAGTTGTCTCTCTTTAGATTAAATATAACTTGTAATTCACCGCAAGCAGTACGCTTCCCCTGGAATTATACCCTACAGGCTTCCCGCGCACGCAGTTTCCATTGCTATGATTTTTATTTCTTTGGGCGAGTTCTACGGGCTACTACTGAGCTACATAATGCTGCTTCATTGGCATTACAATAGATATGATTTTTCCGTAACAACAGAGGATAGGGGCATTGTACTGGGTGTGGCCTGGGCTAGAGAGGAGCCCAATGTGCTACACGGTCTCAGACTCGAATCTTACAATAAAAACCAAAACTAGCATACGCCGAGATCATCTCAAACAATGAAGATTCCCAGCAGATTTGCCTTGACAAGACTAAAGTTTATTTGTTTTCTGTTAGATAAGTTTTTGGTCTCGTGTCTAGACGACACTACGATGTCGCAAACGAGTGATCACGTATCGCTTCATATGCTCCGCAGAAAGCATTTCATTTCTATGAATGAGGCTGATCACTGTGGAGAAGAGATCCGCCTGCCAGTCAGAACCCAACACGGCTATTACTACTTCGTAGCGATGTTTATCAAGGAGTCACGAAGTGCCTCGGACTTAGCGCCAGAGGATTCTATGGCAAGACGGATAAGCTCTTCAGTAGGCTATAAATATACACTCTACACAAGCGACTTATACCACTTCCGAATCTCTTACGGGATATAAAAAAAGTTTAAATTTTTGGGGGAATTTCACTCGTTTAGCGACTATATCTTTAGAGTAACCATGTGACATCAAAACTTGTATGCAATATTTCCCAAATTTCCCTCTTCTGCATTTCTGAATGGCAGCTTAAGCTCGCCAAAGGTTTACAGCTACTGTATGTGTGTTTGTGTTTATCGTACTACTTAAGTCTATGACTATCTAGCACATTGGGCTCCTCTCTGACCCAGGCCACACATTGTACAGTACTCCTATCCTCTTTTGTTACTTGAAAGATCATTGATATATTCCCCTTGATGAAGAGCCATTCAGCTCAGTATTTACCCGTGGAATTCGGCCACCTATTCCACGGAACCTTCTACCCAAAAAAAAAAAAAAAAAAAAAAAGGTAGCAATGGAAACTGCGTGCGCGGGAAAAAGTCTCAAAAAACCTGCAGCTCTAGCCAGGTGAAGCCTAGACACCGGGACCACATGAGGTGCGCATATTCATCTATATCTCCCTTTTTTGTAACAGTCGAGGTCGACTTGATCCAATCCACCATCTCCGTATCGGGTGCTGGGTACGCTCCGGAAACTCATCAGATGGCATCTCCTCCATGATCAAGGGTTGGTGATGAGTAGGGCTCCAATCCTACCATCTGATCTGATCGTGGTTAGCTTCATGATAATGGTGATGAGGGGTTTGTTTTGAGAGATGAAGAAGATACAGACCGCGAAAGCGATTTGGAATCCTCGTCGAAGTGAGGACTTTGTTACTCAATCTCGGCTCTGCAGACTCTACAGTGAGAGCTAGAGGTTCGTAGGGGACACCACTGACAGGTGTTGAGAATTGTCCCCCGTGTACTCGGTGTGGCACTGTACGGAGCGGAGTTATAGTACCCAGGCCCAGCCCGTTTCACCACTCGCCGACACAAAAAAGTTAGCGCCGGCGTTAGCTGGCGTATTGTCCCCGGATCAATTAATGTCAATATACAACAGAGCAAGTCAAGAATAAAATCAGACAATTAATGAAATCTAGGGACAAAAATTCCCACTTCTTGCTGTATACACAGGGAATTGTAATTATCAACGCCGATAATAACAATCTGTGTTACTAAGCAGCCATGTACAGACCGCAACATTGGTAGCCCCCGTAGCTAGCTAGGCCCTACATTCCATCCCTGCCGTCCTGGCGCGGACAGTAATGACCCGAGGAATCAATCCCGCAACACGTATGGATCTACTGGACAAGACAGTCCTAAAGGCTGTCAAAGCAGCACTGCCAGCTTGGCGCGCAGCCCCAATTTAAGCTCTACGTAGAGTGTCAGATGTCCCAACAGTAGCAATTCTTCTGGAACGAAGAAAATATCGGGCAGTTGCGCGCTTTCAATGATTAGATGTATGGCATTCACTAGCTCTAAGATCCAGAGAGGAACCAAAAGATATTGTAAAGAGACTCGAACCCCGAGCAGGCCAGAGAGCCCGACCGCTTACCATTCCAGAGTACTATCATAAACGGCTCCAGAACAGTGCTCTAAGTGAACCGATCACCAAAGGTCTCGGACAGCTGTCATACCCGAAAAGCTAACCCACCAGGAACATATAGGGTCTACCTAGGCAGAAAGAAGCAGATTATGCAAGGATATGGATAGATAATCTTCCTCTGGAGATAATATATGCATGAGGAGATGGCCATCCAACATGTATACATAGCACCGGTCATGTGTCATAGCTAGATAGCTGAATACACATTAAATGATTGAAAAAAAATGAGGAGATGGCTCATCAGACGGCACTGGGAGATCTGCCTAGGGCTACGCCTCATATGAAGGAGCCAGTCTAATCGGAAGCGGTTCGGGAACAAGCATCGGAATTGAAGTGTACAATGCGCAACTTCTGGGAGCCGAGAAAGCCCTCAAAGCTTCCGTAACACTGGCAGGAGATGGCCCTATCGAGTACTAGATAGTTCTGAAGCCTTCTACTCGTTTGGAACCAGTCGAAGCAAGTCTTCTCAAGCTAGCATCTATGACGAAACCAAGCTGGTTGTAGTGTACTTTTAGAAAGATTGAACTATATGAAGAGAGAAGTAACATAATTACGGGTACTGGCTATTTGTAAATCCTTCAGCTCATTCAATATGTCCTCCATTGATGAGCATGATATATTGCTCTGCCACTTCCCGTTGTTATCCTATCATGCCATCTAGCTTGGTTCTCTCAATTGGCAATTGCACTTCGCCGTCTCACATTCCTTCCCAGCTCCAATGTAATGTGGCGACGTGAATCTTAGTTGCCTGGTGTAAGATAACATGGAAAACTCTCCCTACTGCGCCCCCAAACTCCGCTGAGGTCTCCACCTAAGCCAAACCACGGTCAAACCGTGTCACAGTTGACTAACAACTTTACAAAGACCCAACGGGTTGTGACGGTTTGTAAACCGAGTAATGCCTGTAGTCTACGCTGGCTAACGTAGACAATCCTCGACTCCTGATCATACCTCACAGGAATATTTCCGTAGATTCTTAGATATGCTTACCCAGCATATGTTTCTAGTGTAACATTCGAGACTAGAACAGAGGTGATCGAGAATCATCTAGAAAGAGTGGAAAACTTGCAGCAATGAAGAGAGAACCTTCCGAGGACGAGACGAGAAGTTAATGAAAGGATCTAGGTCGATAAGTCGTGGTTACTCCTGGAATGAAGGCTAAAAATAGTATGAAAAGGAATGTATAAATACCTGTCTGACTCCCCGGATAACTCGCCATTACTCGAATGGTAAACTACCATCTTCTATACATATGCTCATCGCTTTTATACCTGATCCATGACAAGAGTCAGTAGAGATACGATGGGTCTTAGGCTATTCCGAGATAGTCAAGAACTCCTGTGTCCATAAACTGGCTAAACTAACCTTAAAATTTCTTCCAACTTCCTCCAGCGCTTTTGATATTTAGAAGTCAAATAATTATCAAAGCTGTCACAGTTTCAGTGCAAAATGCATTGGCAATCTTGTAGGTACAGTACATTAATTATAATTATCTTGAGAGATAATTATACAATTTAAAGGCTATACACATATACATTTTAAATTATTGCCCTTCGAGAAGATTTTCCCTCTGACCTGAATTGCTGAGACTCTTCGAAAATCACCTAGAAGGTCTTCGATATACCTGTCATCCTCATGAACCTTCAGTATGTTTCTAGAGGGTTCACTAAGAATATGCGAAGTTCCGAGGCTTCCCAGACCTTTCCTGAAGATTTCCCTGGTGTCATTGCCTACGCTAGCTAGCGTAGGCTACAGGAATCTTTCGGCTTAAAAGCCGTTATAAAAGACAAACTCTCACAGCTCTAATCCGCTAAGTCAGAGAACGTGAGGAACAGATAGTCGAGTCTTGGTGGCGAGAGAATAGACCCAGTTGATACAAAGACCTGAAACTGATGATAAAATTATAACGTTCACCATAACTGGCTCTACCAATATGGGCGTATCACTTTCTATTAGCGGCTAGAACTGATCAAGAAAACTTCACTAATTATCATGAGAAGTTTCATTACGAAGGAATAGCCTGTAGATGCGTGTGTGGCTAAGAGAAGCGTCCGTGATATTTCTCGGAATGCAGGTTAACATTGCAACAATGGCGGAGCTCAAAGTATGATATAGCGCCCTATGAAAAGGCAATGTTGAAAGAGAATGGATGGGAGAAATTTTACCGATTTCTGACGGTGATGAGAAGCTACGCTAAACATAGCTAGACTGGAAGGCCATAGATGTTCAGGAAACACGTATCGCACGTAAACTGTTATTAGAAAGCTGATTAGGTGTAGGGCGTCGAATCAGGGCAGCAAAAATTGTCTTTGATGTTTTTGATTTCAATCATGTAGATTCCTGGCCAGATAAAGCCAAATTTAGTGGTGGCAATGAGTACTCCGGGAGCACGCATCTGTGTCAAGCCTCCTAGGTGTAGGGCTTTAGCCTGATACGTTATAATTAATCTATTCAATTTAAGTCTCCCTCGTCTATTTATGATTGCTATGACGTATTCGCAATAACAGGCTCTACTGGCTGACTCAAAAAGTAGTCAATCATGAAGCAGTTTTCATCAGCTAATCGCCTTAGTTCATCCCGCATTTTGGCAACGGCGCTACCAATGACTCTTAATTCGGTCTCAACAATACCACGATTTTCGCGAATCCATTCCCCATGCGATACTAGAATCTCTCGAACCCAATTGAGACAAAACTCAAGATGAGGTGACTCTTCAGTTTGGATACCGGCGAGCTGAATGAGGCGTGGTAGGTATACTATTGGTAAATCCTTGACTAAGAGAGGAATTGTCCTCGGTGGAACTCCCTGAAAAACTCGATGTATTAAGGTTTCCTCATTCAAACGAAAAGCCATAATTAATGCCTTCAGATAATCCTTATCTCTTTCGAGAACATGACAAATCGATGCAGGGGTTATTGTTAGGTCTAGATCAAGTGGATCAAATATGACCATCGTGTCCAGGCTGTAAATCAGCAATCCCTCGGTAGAGGCCGCGCAAAATGCTCTTCCAGTGGGTGCAAATGCCAAGCTAGACACTCGAACTTCTGGCATATGCTTCCGAACGGACGGATCCCCTCCACGATTGGAGCCTGGAAGTGTCCTATCTACACGATCTTCAAGGTCGGATGCTTCTCCTTGCTGGTCGATGAGCCCCAAGGGACCAGCTTCAGTCATGAGCTTACTGTTGAGAAACTCCTGTGTTCCAGATAAAGATAAGTTGACGCTGACTGTAAATTTTTTCAAAAGTACAAGTGAGTCCACAGAGTACAAGCAGATATATTTGCTGTTTCCTCCAGCTAGGACACAAGTGCCGTCGGAACTATAGCTTATTGTGTTGTAACTTTTGGTTCCAGAAGCGTTGGCAGCGGTTCGTCGGTCGGTTATCTTCCGGCCACCCGAGACGTCTCTTCTACCGTCGATTCCTGACTGTTGCTGGGCTTCTGATACTGACCAAAAGGTAAGCTGGCCGTCTAGAGTAGAAACGGCGATTTGTTTAGAGTCCGGTCGAAATGCTATGTCCAGAACATCGGATTGAAGTTGAAGAGCCTCACTGCTTTGTGTTCTATCAAAAACAGACCATAATCTAACACTGTGATCCCAGCTCCCACTCACAACCAGACCACCGTTAGGAGAAAATTTCAGAGATGAAACAGGGCCCTCATGGCCAGCCAGCCGATCTAACAATTGTCCATTTTGTACGGACCAGATATGAATATCAAAGGATTCAATAGACCCAGCACAAACCACTTCGCCACTTGGATCAACAGCTAAGCAAGAAAATGGTAGTCGTGTAGGGGCTGTAAAAGTCCTGAAATTCCTGTATCTTACCAAATCCCAAGCCCTTATTGAGCCGTCCAAGCTAGACGTAAACAGAACACTTCCTTTTTTAGCAAGCTCACAAGCTGTAACACCACTCGAATGCTCTGTAAAAGTAACGATACAGAAGCCCGTCTTTACATCCCATATCTTAACCTTTCCGTCGTCAGCTGCAGTTATGATCTTTTGTCCATCGGGTGTGTATGTTAGGGCATTCATTGAATCGAAATGACCTTGTTGTTTTAGGATATAGGATTCTGATTGCCATTCCCAGACTAATAGCTGTCCGAGTTTTGAAGCTCCGAATGCTAACCATTCACCGCTCTTGTTAATTGTTACGAAGTCAATGTTATTCTGAGAGATACTGAGACTGTGTATTTTGTTGAATTCTGGCATTTCATAAAGCTCAAATACACCGTTAGAAAATCCTGCCACTAAGATTTTTGATTTAGGGTGATAAGCAGAGCACTTGACTTTAGCGTTAGGTAGCATTGTATAATGCCGTTCTTTAATTCTCCATCGTAGGTCTTCATTGGCTGCATCGTCTAGTTGGTCTGAAACATTATTAATTCTCTTTGACTCGCATGAAAGGAATGCCCAGTGAAAGACCGCTCCATCTCGACTGATAGTATAGATCGTCTCCTGATCCTCCGAGAAGTAAGCTGCTAAAACCTCTTCTCTATGTCCCGCGAGCGTTGTAGGAACAAATCCTTCCTCGGTTTCCAAGCTCCATATTTTTACCGTCATGTCCTTGGACGCACTTAAAAAAAATCGAGAGTCACTAGACCATTCGATACTTTGAACTATGTCGAAATGTCCTGCATGCACATGATGTCGTATAAATGGTGCGAATTCGAGCTCGCCATCCTGATTTTGATCAGGTGTAGATGGTGTGTGCCAAACTTCTATTAAGCGCCCTAAACCAACTGCAAAATAACGTCCCGATGGAGAAAAGGCAAGTGTAGTTACTTTGGCTTTGAATGAGAACCTATGAAGTACAACTTTTCGGGGCACGTTTGTTAGTATTGCTTGGCCATCTCCATCAATTGATAGTAGCAGATTCCCCCGCGGAGTGAGACCGAGCCATGTGATATTCTTTCGATGCGCAAAAGGTAGAGTGTGTGACTTGTTGCTAACTAAAGGTTACAATTTTGCAATTAATCTGAAATGCTTGACCTCACTTTACCAAATCAAAGATCGTTACTCGGTTTCCGACTGGTGAGAATAGACATGTGCCGTCAGGACTAAAGAGTAAGTTTCCCTGACGGTAAACAGTTCCCAACAAGTTAGAAAACTGTTGAGATAAGTTAGTACGGTTTGCGATCGCGGTTTGGGTAGAGATAAACCTTGTACTCAGTCTTCATAGTATCTGCTCCTGAGGGTTTATTTCTTCCGATGCACTAACTCGCAGCAAACCTACTTTTTCAAAACTGCCGTTAACTCCCGCCCTCATATTCGGTTAGCGTCCCGGCGGGAAGCTTCTATCTCAGGGGAAGCATAATTGCCTGGATAAGTGATAGGCACATCCACCTTCCATCCAGAAATACTCCCCGAAAGAGGTCAACTCTACTTTATGCCAAAAAGCAGGAATATCAAAGCTGTAAAATTATCATACACAAAAACAAACATTTGCTCGAAATGGCTTCTCCCACCACGGAGGGCGCATCTCCTATTGGAATCGCAAACCTCCCAAATCAACGACACAAAATAGTTGCAAAGAGAGGAGCAGCATTTACCATAATGGTATTTTTTAATCTGACTTGGTGTCCCCATTTTTTATGCTAATAAAAATAGGTCGCCGGTGAATCCGGATTAGGAAAGACTACATTCATTAATACGCTCTTCTCAACTACGATAAAAAACTATGCAGACCACAAACGTAGACACGCAAAGCAGGTTGACAAAACAGTTGAAATTGAAATCACCAAGGCAGAACTAGAAGAGAAGTTTTTCAAGGGTTGGATTACCTTCAACAGTTGAGACTATACTGATAGTTAATAGTTAGACTGACTGTCATTGATACTCCTGGCTTTGGAGATTATGTCAACAATCGCGACTCTTGGATGCCAATTATTGAATTCCTAGATGACCAACATGAGTCATACATGCTGCAAGAACAGCAGCCTAGACGTGTCGATAAAATTGACCTTCGTGTTCATGCATGTCTTTACTTTATAAGGCCAACAGGTCATACTTTAAAACCCCTAGATATTGAGGTCATGAAGCGACTCAGCTCAAGGGTTAATCTGATTCCGGTTGTTGCCAAAGCTGACACTCTCAGCCCAGTTGATTTAGCACGTTTTAAGCAGAGAGTATGTATAAGTGCTTATTTTGAGGGAAAAACTAAGTTTTCCTAGATTCGCGCTGTGATTGAAGCTCAAAACATCAAAATATATACTCCACCAGTCGAGGAAGACGATGAGGCTGCTGCACAACACGCCCGATCCCTAATGACTGCAATGCCATTCGCAGTAATAGGATCAGAAAAAGACGTAAAAACAAGTGACGGCCGTATCGTCAAGGGTCGCCAATATTCTTGGGGTGTCGCCGAGGTCGAAAATGAAGAGCATTGTGACTTCAAAAAAGTTCGCTCGATTTTAATACGCACGCACATGCTTGACTTAATACATACAACAGAAGAGCAACACTATGAGGCATACCGTGCACAACAGATGGAGACGCGAAAATTTGGTGAAGCTCGTCCTCGCAAGTTAGATAATCCGAAGTTCAAGGAGGAGGAAGAGAGTTTGCGCAAAAGATTCACCGAGCAGGTTAAGATCGAAGAGCACCGATTCAGGCAATGGGAACAGAAACTAATAAGCGAACGAGATCGTCTCAACAAAGATTTAGAGAGTACACACGCAGCCATCAAAAGTCTAGAAAGCGAATTAGACCAGATGCAGGGTGCAGCTGTGCGCTCTTATGGTCGTCGTTGACCCAATTCTTTAAAGACATAGAAAGTAAAGCAGGCAATAAAATATCGATAGAGGGGTCAATCCTCGTGCGCAACAAGATGCTGTTGGGAAAGTTAATCCAGTTATTTGGGCTGTTTCGGTGTTAAGAGCTTATCAAGGACAAGTTTTCATATCCTTACGATTCTTTATCACCAAGGGTAATCTAGTCTACTAGTTAAAATACCGAGTTTTTTCAGCGAGCCCCTTCATGTATCTTGTCCAAGCTTAATACAGCAAGTAGGAAAGACTAGGAATTAACTATCTCTGATCTCAAGTTGAGAAGGGAGCATAGTTCAACCAATTGATCGAGTGTTACAAGCGAAAATTAATTGTATGACCTCGTAGGAGTAGAGGTTTATTTTTTGCGACAATAATATGTCTGACGAACCGAGAATTGACTCAAGGGTTCCAGCCCATACTTTGGCAATATTACTGTCGGACAAACATATAGCTGTCAAACTCATGTCTAGTGCAAAAGCAATAACACTTTTCTTTTCTCGCTCTATTCTATTACTACTTTTCTCAGTGTGACGAAGATCACGCCCTACTTCGTCACAACGCATCCATACGAGCACGGGTACTTACTTGCTCATTCCTATTTCCCAGCTTACTAATTCCCAGAAACACATCGGTTCCGTAGCCATCAAGGCTGTGAAGGTCCAGACTCCCTGCCCAGTACTCAGCATAAACCCGGCTTAGAGGCAATCCCATACCTAGCCGAAGATTCGCTGGTCGCTCGCTTAAATTGCTTAAGCTTCCTAGGTCTAAAGTATTACCGTCTTCGTAAATAGACTTAAGGGAAGGGGTAGGGATCGATCCAGTGGGGTTCAAGGGTTTCATTTTTTCCCAATGAGTAGAAATACGTAGCTCCTGAAGTGTAGCAGCCATTCTGGGGACACGGGAAAGATTATCCATGATTTGTATGCTCCGGGCCCCTTTGGAAAATGACCAAAGATGGGAATGTACGTCAGGATCAATACCACCACCCCGATCAGACACGCGAATAGTAACGTGCAAATGCGTCTCGCAAATCGTGACCTCAATTGGAGGGGGCTCTTCCTCAAACTTATGTGCCTCCACAGTAGCTTGAATAGAATTGCGTAGTAACTCTCCGATTACATACTCAAGATGTGTAAGAATATATGGAAATGTTGCCGTGACATGACCTTTGATTTGTACTTTCGGAAGTGTAACTGAAGGTCCGTAAGAAGCAGAGCAAATTGCTGAGACAACGGCCATACAGCGTTGGATGAGAGTACTGACATTACACTTCGGGAAAACCTCGCCCACTGCATCACTGCGGGATTGAGTGGTGGGAAAGGTAGGGCGCTGGCGGAGGTTGAAGGTTTGAGTCAATGCTATATGTTGCTCGGCGATGACACGGCGAGAAATTCGCTACGATATATCTGATCAGTCACCTCCACGCCGTCGTTCATTATAGCTTACAGAGCGAAGAATTGTGTTCATAAACACATCTAAGTCTTGTTGCTTCATGAGATCACGACATTCCAAGATACCCATTGCTAGCTTTGGTATGACCTCCAAATGTTCGTCTAACGTCTCCCGGATTGTTTCACAAAAGAATTTATTACCTTCGAGGTTTTTGATTTCCTGTACTCGGCGGAGTGTCTCAAATGCCTTGTAGTAAAGTTCAAAGACTTGGCTCATATAAGGATTCGTGACCACGACGTATGGCAAAGTCTGTATATCTCGAATCCGATGCGCCAGGCTACAGAGTCTAAACAAACGGAATTAAATGGAGATATGAGGATATATACCGTCGAGGAAGTTCGGTGCGCACATAGTTTGCTGAACGTATCAGTCTAGGCTCGCTCAAGAAACGTCCGAAAACCATTAGCTGTCTGATGGAGATTGGCCTGGCTTCTTTTGCAACCCATCTATTATTGTCAGCTACTGTGGTCAGCTCGACAAGATAGAGTCTACTCGTCTAGGGCGGAAACCGGTCCCCAAGGCGGCAAATGTGGCCCACCCGAAGATAATCTTTTGGATTCAGCATAATTGATGAATCTGGTTGGTAGTAGAGAATCAGAGCTCGCTTGCGACAATTTCCGTAACATGCCCATGCTTCCATGCGAAAGTAGAGATATGCTTTCAACACTTTCCCTTAGCTAGGCAGTTCTTGCATTTCGATGGGTAAACTGAGGAAAGGAAGATGGAATATGACCGCCATGGCACCACTGGGGCCCCTGGTTAGCAGAAAAACGGGCTGGGTTTTGTAGGACGGCAGTAAGCACATGTGTCCGAATGAGGTTAGCTCAAGGAACCAGACATCGAAGTGACTCCAAAGGCACTTTCTCGATTTTCATAGCTGATTCGAAGTTAATACTAGAGACTTAGATTTTCATAACAGCCGAAAATTTTTTGGGCAGTGTTGTTCTTCCATCAATTCAGGATAGTCAATGTCTCGTAAGGTGCAACCTATCCTACGCTTCTTTCAAGGCTCCGTGCAGTGATAATCCACCCGGGTGCTGTTAAATGGCTAAATATATAGTGTGGATGTGAGAAGTTAGACTTGGAATCCCGATGAAATTTAGGCCTAAGGAAGCCGAATGACTTATTGATTACTAATTCTTATTATTTGAATTTGAATTTGAATTTATTATCCTGATTCGGCGCCCTATGGGCCCATGCAGGTGTCTACAGTCTATAATATTTACCCGGGAGGAAACCTTTATGGTGAAAACCTCCCACACCTTTCTATTTGTTGTCTATAGTCCTCACATATTTTCTTCAGGAAGCGCAGTTACACTATAGTGCCATCCATGTAAACCAACTAGATCATTTCTATCCACCCCAAGTATTACATGCCCTATTACTTTCCCTCAGCAGTATTTCGACCGCTTTTGTCATCTGGAATTGCTCTATCCAACGATGGTTTAGGATCCACTGTGTTATCCTTTTTATATCTCCAGGATTATTTAACATCGCTTCGTAGGATCGATCTTTGGCTTGTCTCCAGATCTCAGCTCTACCATTTGACCATCAGGGGCAGGACAAAATCATAATCTTGGGGTTCTGTGATCAGTAGCTACATGGACAACCTGTACTTAATACTCCGGGTACTTTTCTTCTCTGCAAATACCAGTTGAGACCTGTTAGACTCTAAGAGTCAATTGAAAAATGTATGAAGTAAAAGCAAAAAGTGTCAATTAATTCCTGGCTGCCATTTCTCTTACTGATACTATCTAGATTATGTACGTCTAGAAAATGGCAAATGCTCTATGTGTCCCCAACTTGTCCCCATTGACCAAGTTTCTCATGGTTTGGAACGAAACATCTCTAGTCAGAACAGATAGAGTTCTTATTGCTACAGCCCAAGCGAAACACTTTTTTCCGAAACAATTAACTCCAAGCTTTGTAAACCTAACTCTTTAAACTTTATATCTGACATTAATCGCCTTCAAACTATCCACAGTTTGATAATAGAATAGAATAGAATTCAATTTAAGTCCCTACTGAGTCTATGACTATGAAGGACTGCTAAAGAAAACAAAATAACTTTAAAATTTAATAGTCTTTTTGACAATTGATTTACTTAATATGTACCAATAGATACTGAGGGTCTTGCCCTAATTATTTAGTCCCTCCATCCCCATCAACAGTTTGATAAGATACATGTGCTCACTGCGAATTTACAATGTTTAACTACTTTGGGCCATAGCCAAGTTACGTTGTAGAAAAAATGGTCAGTCTGTAAGATCTGGTTTTTGCCGTCAAGATTCTTTATTTTGATCAAATTTGGCCGCTCTCCAAGGCTTCAGGATCTGCAGTTGCTAGTTACCATATTATTTTTTGATTTTAAATTCATCTAGCCCGATTTGGCGCTTTAAGTCCCATGCAGGTGTCTACAAACTCTATTATTTAGATAGGAGGAAACCTTTGTGGTAAAAACCCCTCAACTTCTCAATTTGTATACACTTTAATGTTGGTCTATGCTGTGACACGCTGATTATGGCAAGCAAGAACCCAAGGTTTAAAAGTTAATAAAGCTAAAGAGCAAAGCTCTATCTACAAATTACATATATAATGAGATTTAAGCGATTAGTAATTAAAATGTCATTAGTGCTTCCATAACGCCAAACCTCCGTGGGTACCTTAATTCAACGCCTTATCTCTACACTACATCCCTAATCACTTAACTTGTTACCTTCAAGAAGTGCACCAACACTGTTATGTCCAGGCAAGTCCACGACAAGCCACGATGAAGTACGAAAATTTCGGGAGTTGTCCAAATCAGCTCGCGTGACAATTAAATGGGTTCCCGGGCACTGAAGAATCCAGGGTAACTTGGAAGCCGACTCGGCCGCCAGGTCTGGCCTACGAATGCTGCCGAGCCCGGAAATGCATCCAGAATCCATCACTCTGGCATTTCTTTATGGCCAAATGAATCGTCTGCGGCAGGCGTTACTCGACGATTGGTGGAACGAAGCTTGCCCGCCCCGATATCGCAAGCTCGACCTGCTCATGCGACGAAGGAAACCACCTGAGCTGGGACTTTCGAGGTTCCTACTCCGAAATCTGATTGCAGCTCGTACTGGACATGGCAATTTCGCGGCGCATCATCGCCGTTTCAACAATCTGGACGCTATAATGGAGTGCGCCTGTGGGGAGGAGACCACTCCTACCCATTTTATTCACTGTCGACTACACGCTCACGTCACGCGTCGACTCAGAGGGAGATCGTCACATGGTGGCTTTATCCAAAAACTTCTCGGGCCAAAGTGTCACGAATTTTTCAAAATCTTTGAGAAGGAAACCTGCTGTTTTGGTTTGCCATCTACAAATTCGTCCTCTGATTTCATCGGGGACAATATAAATTAGTCATACAGATGATATGACAGGAAGGAAGACAAGTCGAGGAGATTTGTTTCCGAACCAGAGATTGGTAAATCTACAGAGCTGGATAGTTTTGTGGTTAGGAGTTTGGTTTTTAAAGGTTGAATTTTTGTACCAGTGCGAATTTTATACTTGCTACTATTTGTGTAGTGGTTCAAGCGGTGGGATCAAGTTTGGCTTATCAGGGATATGATCTTGGCTGTGAACATCGGTCTTTGACCTTTAGGGGATAACGGGTATAGCCTAGGACCTAAATTAATAAACAAACAAACTGTTATGTCCAGTGCGCATACCGTTCACTTCTCTATTACTGGCAGGAGACCACATTTCTACTACTGCCATCCCTCTTCCTCATCGTGGCCTCGACTTCAAGCGTTAGTCGAAACTGCTCCAATCTCCCTTCATAGTGAATCCACTTTGTAATTCTAGCTATTTCTTTCGGATTATTCAGCATCGCTTCGAATGACCGATTCTCTGCCTTTCTCAGTATTTCTCCTCTTTCTTTGGCCTGGTTGGAGCAAGCCATGATCATGCGCTCGACGTTCTGGAACGGATATCCACATTGGTATCGTAGGCAGTTTACTCCGGGAACATATCCCCTGTACAGATAAGAGTTGAACCCAATGTGCTTCCATCTTATCTGCATGGCTATACTACTTTGGGTTCTGTTAAGGTCTTTGTGGATACTGATGGGTGTTCCTCTAGAGGTCATTGTCGTTCTTCCCGTCTTTGCATCTATAGAGAAATTTGCTGCATTACCATATTATTATTATTATTTGATTTGGGTTCATTATCCTGATTTGGCGCCCTATGGGCCCATGCAGGTGGCTATAAACCTATCTATATATTTACATAGGAGGAAACCTCTCGGTGAAAACCCGCCAAGCTTTCTGATTTCATTCTTAGAGTTTGCAATTTATCCTTCAGGAAGCACAGCTACACTATAGCGCCGTCGATGTGTACCAATCACGTCCCCTCTATCGACCCCAACCTTCTTCATGTTCCGTCTCGTTCCGTGAGCTGCATTTCGACTGCATTTGTCAAGCGGAATTGTTCTATCCAACCATGATTAAGAATCCATCGTGTGATTCTTTTCATATCGCTAGGATTGTTGGTCATTGCTTCAAAGGAGCGATTTCGGGCTTGTCTCCAGATTTCTCCTCTACCAATTGACCACTTAGGGCAGGACATGATCATGTGCTTGTGATTTTGTGATTGGTAGCCGCACGGACAGCTTGGATTGTAGACTCCTGGTATTTTTCTTCTATGCAAATACGAATTGAGCCCGATATGCTCGCTTCGAATTTGGATTGCTAAGCTACTTTGGGCCCTCGTCAGGTTTTTGTGGAGAGAAAATGGCGACTCCCGGAAGCTTATTTTTGTACGTCCAGAATGGCGGCATTGGTAAAACTTTGCTGCTGCCCAAGTTTTAGGATCTGCTGAAGCAAATCTTTTAGGCTGTCGAGTTCGCTTTGTGGCTGACCAAGATTTCGCCCATTCTAGGTACGCTGCAACTCTTATCGCTTCTTTTTGTAAGTCCTTGAATTTCTCCTTATCGACATTAAAACTTGTTGTCGACATTGTAGATGTCTGTCTGTTATCACACACATTGGAAAAAATTCATGAGATTGCTTAATGAGAGGCTAGTATTGATTCCGATATAATATTGTAGAAGACTTGTCCCAACTATCAGAGGGCTACAACGTCTTTATCTATCTACAGGTAAATTCCCCATATTCCAACCACGCTAGCCATACAGGACGTAGCATGTAAAGCCTGATTCGTATCATCATTTTGGGTTTGAGGTCTACCGTGCATATGCTACTCGAGTCGCATGTCTGACTACTATGCGACACGCTTAGGTATCAATCTAAAAACCCACACCAAAACCGAAACTACTCACAACCCTGATGATGACCCCATGAATAATTGGAACAGTAGCCTGCAACATAGCACAATTAGGCTAGACATCGTTGACCAGGACCTAATCCGAACATCTCCTCTCCGCAAATCTCTTTCCAGTATGCAAGGTCTGCTCTTCTATTATGTGCTCTAATATCTTCTCTTCCTCTTCTGGGAAGTTTTATTTTAGCACATGCTGATTGAATAGTCTTTTGAACTGGTAGAGAATTTGAGCGGCCTACATACTGAGCCCTTTGTTGCTTCAAGTAGATTTCCATCGGAAGAGTAGCAGATTCATGTTCCAGCACCCTGGTGCTTGTCGATT